TTTTTTTTCCAACAACTATTGCTAGGATAGCCATGTGTAGAAAAATAAATTTAAGCACCGACTTTATACACCTTTCACAACAATTAATTAAAAATGGATACAAACCTAAATATTAAGTGCAAAACCATCAAAGTCTTAAAACCTTTGAGAATAATCTGAAAGACTTTAGGTACAGTGAGTTTTTAAGTTATGATAAGAAAGACCCAAACTGTAAAAGAAATAATTGAAAAAGTGGTCTTCATTAAAGGCCACTTACATTTTCATTACAAATAAAAACTTCTATTTGTAAAAGTCAATAAAGAAGATATACTGGAGAAAAAAAAATATATATATACTGGTTTTTACTTTGTAGAGATGGCCTCCTGTTTCAGCTTCCTGAATATTAGGATTACAGAAGTATGTTACCACACTCATCTTAAAAGTAAACTTTCTATTACCATGACAACTTGTGAATATTAGTCTTAATTGTCAAAATCTAGAGCCCCTTCCCCAGATGGGCCTCTGAGGCTGTCTATGGGAGATTAACTTATCAGGTCAACTAAGTGAGAAGACCTGTCCACCGGTGCCATTTCCTAGGCTGGGGTCTGGGTTGTGTAGGAGTGAAGAAAGCAGCCTGCATATTAGCATGCCTACATTCTCTCTGACTACAGATGGATTGTGCATAGCTGATTTAAGTTCCTGATGCCCTGGTGTCTCTCCACCGCGGTAGACTGTAACCTGGAAGAGCTAAAATAAGATCCTTTTCTTTTAAGTTGCTTTTGGCAGAGGTTTTTTTTTTTTTTTTTTTAATCACAGCAACAGAAGAAATTAAGACACTAACTACACTGGCTATTTTTGTGGTTGGTATTTACTTAATGTATTTTAAAACACATCCACATAATATTTTCATGCAACTGTCTATAACAGTTTTAGTATAAGAGTTGTCAAAACCTAAAAGCAACCAAGATGTTCAACAGATGAGTGAACTAACTACAGAACATCTATACAAAGGAATATTAACACTAAGAAGACATGGAAGAAATTTGAATGTGCATTACTAAGTGAAAGAAGCCAGTCTAAAAATGCCATAAACTAATTGATTCCAATTCTGTGGCTGCTATACAGTTTAAATCTGGAATAGTCTCCAAGACCCACTGGAAAAAAAAAAAAAAAAGGCTTGGTAGCCAGCTGGAGAAGCCTGACCAGATGAGGACCAGAGGAAAACATTCAGGTCACTGGAGGCAGGCTTTTGGAGAGATGGTAGGAACTCAGAGCTTGTGTTTTGCTTCCCGGCTAAAGATAAGCGGCTTTCCTTTCCATGTGTTCTCTTCATGTGTTGTCTTGCTACAAGCTCCAAAATGAGGGCAGCCAACTATGGGTTGAAACTTGAACTGTGAGTCAACATAAAAGGTTTTTTTCCTTTGTAAACTGATCGTCTCTGCTATTTGTTAGTGCAGCAGGAAATGTATTAACAGTAATGTTATGGGAAAGGCTAAATTGTAGAAATAGTTAAGATCATTGGTTGTCAGGGGCTTAGTGAGAGTCATGAAAGTGGAAAAGAACACAATCTGTGAAACAGTAGGAAAGTTCTCTTTATGTCATCATAATCATGTATAAGTGACATTGTACATTTTCAAAAGTCACAGATCATATAAAACCAAAAAGCAAACCTTCCACTAAGAACTTAGGGAGTCACTGACATATTAGTGCATGCTCAGCCATGGAAAAGTCTGCCATCTGCTGAAGTGGGCCTTGTGAGGGAGGTAATGCATTTGTGAGGGTAAAAGAGACATGAAAAATCTCAAACCTTCCCATGATTTATTGGGAATATAAAACTCATCTGTAGATAATCTTAGCTAGAAGATAAAGAAAATCCTTCCAATTTTTTTATACATAAAATTTGACCAATAATCACTTTCTGTAAATAACTTAGAAATATATATCATTTTTTACTTTGAAAAACTAAAATACAAAATGAGATATGATTTTAGCATGGGTTATTAAGACCTTAATTATTTACCAGTGTCCACAATCAAAAAACTGTCGTAATAACTCAATAGGAGGTTGGGCTCCATATTTCTCCAATGAAGGCATATTCATGTCATCTATAAATATTATACATGTCTTTCCCATAGGTGGTCCAAATACTCCCTTGCGCCTTTTGTCCAATCTAGCCATAATGATGTTCTAAAAATTTAAAAAGAAAGAGGCATATTTACCTATGATAGTATTACAATCCTACTATTATTATTATTGTTTAAGTCGATATCAAGATCTGTGCTGCCAGATCTATGGAATACCAGTAGCAGCTATCATCTGCTTAATTTTTTTTAACATAAAACTATTTAACATCAGAAACAAGGACTGAACAATCTTTGAAAGGAAATAATGTTATGTGTGTATTTATTCTGAGATACTCTTATTTAAGTTGATACTAAACTTTATAAACTCAACATAATTTCAAATAACATCTGTTGAAAACCTCCCATGTGCTAGAATTATAATATGTAGTGTGTGTGTGTGTGTGTGTGTGTGTGTGTATTCCATGCTTTTCACACTAGATACCCCTTTACCTAAGGCTTGAAAGCATTAATTTTTCCAATTGTTGTTGGATTTTTATAGCCAACATAAATGGCTTTTTAAAATTTCTGGATTGTTTTGTTTTGTTTGAGATGGGGTTTCTCTGTGTAGCTCTGGTTGTCCTGGAACTCACTCTGTAGACCAGACTGGCCTCGAACTCAGAGATCCACCTGCTTCATCTCCCGAGTGCTGGGAGTAGCAACACGTGCTACCACTGGCTGCCATTATTTCTGGTGTTTTAAAAATTTGCCTGTCCACTATAACACTGAATATCAAAATTATTTTTTTAAAATTCTGCAGTATTCTAACTTTGCAAGACTTTGAATTTAAGGAAAATCTATTGGCTGAGAACAACAGACATAGAGCTGGTATCCCATGGACCAACCCTGTGAGCAGAAAGTACCCCTCAAGCCATACAGAAGAGCATAAGAACAACTGAGTGTTCTTGTATGCCCACCCACTACTCTTGTACACACATACATGTCTCTTACACCTTCTTCTCCAATTAAATCAACTGTTGCTTCTCAGGCCAAAAAAAGTGATAAAATTTAATAAAGTGCTAATATAAAAGTTTTGTCTTTTGATTCATAGATTTACAAAGTTGTATGTTTAATATACAGCTTTAAATGTTTTAATATTTTAAAAATAAGATAAAATATAATAATTATAAACCCAAGCTTCTGGCTTTATACTAACCTGAACCTGATTGGCACTGGTCCGTGCAGAAAAATTAACGTAGAAAGGAAAGTACTTGTCCTTTTCCAAATGATTCATGAGTTTATCCTTCACATACACGGACTTTCCTGTGCCAGTTGGACCCACAAAAAGCAGCGGCCTTTAGGAAAACAGTGAACGACATAATTAAGGTGGAAGAAAGATTAAAAGTACTTTTATGGAGAGAAACTCAAGTAAGTACTTTTAAAACTTTGAGTAGTAGTTGAGCCATTTCTTTCTGAAACTCCACATGCATATAACTGTTCATGAAAGAACAGTAAAGGCAGGCCCAAGGAGATGGCTCAGCAGGTGAAAGCGCTTGCTGTGCAAGCCCGACCACCTGGAACCCATATAAAAACCAGATGTGGTAGTTTGTGTCTGTAATCCCAGCAATCCTACTGTAAGAGAAGCGAGTCAGACTGCCTGCTAGTCTGCAAGCAATGAAGCTGTATATAAAACACATAAATTTGTGTGTGCGTGTGTCCATGTGTGCATGTTGTGTGTGTGTGTGTGTGTGTATGTATAGGCCTGCACAGGCACAGGCACAGGCACAATACATGAACCTCAGTGATGACCTTTGTGGTATTCCTAGGCATTTCCACCTTTTATTTGAGACAGGGTCCCACGCTAACCTAGAAGTTTGGCGAGAAGGCTAGGCTAGTTGGCCCATATGCTTTCATGCATCTGCCTGTCTTCTGTCTCCCACCTTGCCATGGCTGTGATCACAAGTGTGCGCCATGTTTCTGGCTTTATCCCAACCTGACCCTGATTTGCACTGGTCCATGCAGACACTGTGTCCATGCTTTCTACATAGAACCTGGTTCCGCATGCTTATCAAGTTCCACGTGGCTTCTCTGAGCCATTTCCCTTCCAGAATATACAGCTTTTCAGTTATAACACTGCAAGTAATTTTTGGTGACTTAAGAGGCGATGAACTATGGTCCTGTTAAAATTTTGGAGTGAGTAATAAGAAAGCTGAATTCTAGGTTTTCCAATAACAGTAGGTGTCATTTAGAATATATTAATTATTTCCCAGTCATGGTCTCAGTTGCCTGAAACTCAATGACCTCAAAGTTTACTTTTAAAAATGTTACCATTCTTTGATCACACCCCCGCCCCCCCCCCCCCCCCCAGGGGAGAGCAGCCCTACCAGGCCACAGAAGATGACAATGCAGCCATTCCTGATGGGATCTGACAGACTAAGATCAGAAGGAAGGAGAGGAGGACCTCCCCTATCAGTGGACTTGGGAGGGGCAATTGAGAAGAAGAAGAAGGGAGGGTGGGGCTTATGGGGGGATACAAAGTGAATAAACTGTAATTAATAAAAAATTAAAAAAAGGTTACCATTTGATTAGAATGGCACTGTTACATTTAAAATTCATGTTTACAGTAGAGTTTCTTACTTTGCAAAGGTAATACTCAAATCCATTAGGAAAGTATATCTAATTGTGTCCATTGTAGGGACTATAATATCTTGAATCTTGGTATGTTTGTCTTCTAAAGAAGAACTTTTAATTAATTCATTCCAATGGAGCCAGCGACCTCGGTTCTTCAACTATAAGAGAATATGTTTTGAATATTATAACTATGCACTTTTTACATCTGAAAGAATCTTTTCAACACTTACAGCATTTGCCTTTTAAAGCTTGAACCCTTAGATAACATTTAAAAATCTGTAACACACAATGAAGTTTTATCAGTTGACAAAATAAAGTTAACTCAGTCAAAAGATGGGTAAAGGACAAAAATGTGCAGTTTATAAAAGAATAAATCCAAATGGGGAACAGACTGCTACTCAGTAAGAACTGACTGCTACTGCAACTTGAGATAACATTGTGAGGCCATTTATGCTCACAACCAGAGCTTGTATCCCTGGATAATTAACACTGAAAAGGCGATTTTACTGACTTTTTATAAAATAAGTTTTATTAAAAATTTGAAATGAAAAGTCTCTGCCATGCAGACTATCAATGCAGATGCTGAGACTTATGGGCAACCTTTGGGCAGAGTGCAGGGAATCTTAGGAAACAAGTAGGAAACAGTAGGATCTGGAGAGGACAGGAACTCCACAAGGAGAACAACAGAACCAAAAAAATCTGAGCACAGGGGTCTTTCCTGAGACTGATACTCCAACCAAGGACTGTGCATGGAGATAACCTAGAACCCCTGCACAGATGTAGCCCATGGCAGTTCAGTATCCAAGTGGGTTCCATTGTAATGGGAAGAGGGACTGTCTCTGACATGAAATGATTGGCCTGCTCTTTAATTACCTCCCCCTGAGGGGGAAGCAGCATTACCAGGCCACAGAAGAAGACAATGCAGCCACTCCTGATGAGACCTAATTGACTAGGATCAGAGGGAAGGAAAAGAAGAGCTCCCCTATCAGTGGACTTGGGGAGGGGCATGCATGCAGAGGGTGGAGGGAGGGAGGAATTGGGATGGAGGAGGGAGGGAACCCTGGGGGGATACAAAGTGAATAAAGTGTAATTAATAAAGAATTTAAAAAACAAAACAAAAAAATTGAAATTAAGGAGAGATAAGGCTTAGGGGTTCTTTGAGAGGACCCAGAACCCATACCTCCTCTCACAACTGTCCCCCAGTTCGGAGGATCTGGTGCCTTCCTCTGACTTTTGCAGACACCAGCATTACCTCCTCTCACAACTGTCCCCCAGTTCGGAGGATCTGATGCCTCCTCTGACTTTTGCAGACACCAGCATGCACATAGCGTGCACATCAACAGGCAGGAAACACCAGCACACATAGAAGTTTAAACATGGTGAGTGAGACTCCACAAACGAAAATCTTTAGCCTTTCCTCCTTTACACTGAACTGTCACAGATCACATAAAATATAAGTAATATTTTAACTCATAAAGAGGATTAGTAGATAAACATCCATGAATCTACCACCCAATTACAATTAATTTTTAATGATAATCCAAAGAATATAAATTTCACTTTATCATAAACTCAACCTATCTAGAGTTTCTCTTCTTTATTTTTTTGAGATGGCCATAGCCCTTGCTATTCTGAAACTCACTATGTAGATCACGCTAACCTCAAACTCAGGGATGCAACTGCCTCTGCCTCCTTAAGTGCTGAGACTAAAGGCATGCACCACCATGCCTGGCTGAATTTATATCCTCTTAATATCTAATCTTCCCTGAATGCCTTTAATATAGCCTTTTGCATATGTTGCGAATTTATTTCAAAGTCATTTTAGTGTAACTTAAGTTACAACTTGCCAGATTTTAGTTTTGCATCCGTCATGTCTTGAAGTAAATGAGCTATACTCTAACTAAAAATGAAACACCATTTGAGACCTCTGTATTTGTTTGCCATTTTGGCTCTTTGATCTAGTCTCATGTTCAGCCAAGATAATCAGCATATCTGTATTAGCTATTAAAGTCCTGAAATTCTTTTGAACCTCTGGCTGAATATGCTGCCATCTCCCTGTCTTCCCATCAATACCAGCTTCAATCATTATTTTTCTCTTTTGATTATTCCTCTCCCACTGTCAATCCCCAGGTCTCCTACTACCAAATTTAGAGTCATATTAAAGTTGAATAGACACGTATTTTGGAATTTTATTAGATTAAGAAAAAGATACCAGGTGTGGTAGCACACTTTTAATCCTACCACTCCGGAGTAGAGGCAGGCAAATCTCTAAGTTCAAGGCTAGCCTGGTCTACATAGCAAGTTCCAGGATAGCCATGGCTTGAAAACATGAGAAACCATGTCTTGAAAAACAAACCAAAAACAAACAGAGATTAAGAAAAAGAATAGAGCTGGGCACAGTGGCAATTGCCTGTAATATCAGCACTCAGGGAGGCAGAGGGAGGCAGATCACTGTGAGTTCAAGGCCAGCTTGGCTTATAGAGTGAGTCTAGGACAGCCAAGGCTACACAGAGAAACCCTGTCTTGAAAAACCAAAACGAAGAAGAAGAAGAAGAAGAAGAAGAAGAAGAAGAAGAAGAAGAAGAAGAAGAAG